TACATAACTCTTCTGAAGGGATTCTAAAATACAACATTGGGCAAAATAAGCACATAAGTATACCCCTAGACAAGGCAGATGATTATTTTAGTCACTACAGATTATATTTACCAGCCAGTCGCAGGACTTGAGACAAACTCAGACTAAAATAATATACTTAAATCACTAGTAACCAGACCAAGTTATTATTTTACTTGTGACACAAATGTTTTATAATAATCACATTTGTAGAAAACAATAAGTATTCACTGAAAATTACTCGCTTATTTGTAACCTGTAACTTTTAAGTTATGAGGATAGTATACCAATGCAACATTCTGTCAGTAATATATAATTGAACATGAAGAATTCCATATTACAGTTATGTGGAAAGTGACAGGCAGATGACACTATAGCTAACAACCATTAACTGCAAAGAGAATGAACTATAGTACTGTCGGAAATAGAACAAAAACTGTTTTTAGGCTGTTACTCTGTATCCCTAAAACTGACACAATTGCAAATAGCATATGTCGAAATAACCCACTTCGGCCTAACTAGGCGTTCAGTGGGATGCGGAATACGATATCCAGAAAAGCATGTTTACTCGTAAAATCGGGCAAAACTTAGAAAAATTACGAATAGCTGTTCAAAACAATAGATCAGACTATAGATGGCAATTAGGTCGCTCAGCCAGGTATGACGACAGACTGTCGACTCACCTGGCATGAAATGCACGTGCTGCCTACAGGCACAAGGGGTCATCTCAAAGATATTTTGTGCTTTTTCATGTGTGTTGACTATGTCTCATCTACTGATTAACATCTTACGTGTCTTTCTTTCATAAAGTTTATGTTGAGATATGTAAGAGAGTATGATACCTGAAAACCATAGAAACGCATCTTAGTATATAGGTGGCATGACCACCCGAAGATCGACAGGACTGGATATTATTTGTAAATTGTTATGACGTGCCGTGTACCTCCCCAGTATAATTGCCCTAAAGGATTATCTTATCTTAGCTGATATCTCTATCCCCAAGCCCGATCCCAGGTTTTGCTTTTGAGGCGACCCCTCCTATCTGTTTCTTTTTATAGTGACAGTGAGACTGCATGGTAGCTACATCCTTAATAGTTTCGGCATAAAAGTTATTATTTTTTTACGTCAGCTATCGTTTATAATGAATATACGTCTAATTTCAAATTGGGCATTTAAAAAGTGTCCTTTTTAATACAATATCGTTGCACACTAATTTGCATAAAGCCATGGTCTGTTCCAAATAAGTCTTTTTTTACTTAGAAAACCCCCGCATTGCTCATTTCTGCACTAATTTCCCCTGAGTAAAGCCCTTTTTGTCCGTTTCCTATCTCTCTACCACTGAGACTGTAGTTAGGCCGAACCTAGTTTAACAGATATTTCACACTTTCACATATCAACTACATAAATTGTAGAGATAAATGAGAAAATACAGTTTTTTTCTATTTCTGACAGTACTATAGTAATAGCTCATAGTCATAGTTCAGGGGTCACATTTTTCACAGATGAATACAAATTTAAGATGAGAGGCCATATTTAAAGGATTATTTTGCTCATGTTGGTCACCTGAATACAAGTCACTTGTACAAACCAGTACAAAAGTCAGTCCTATCTGACATGAACTGAAAAACCTATGATCTTAGAAAATTTACTGGCATTTTCATGGCGTCAAATACTGGTGTTTAACCAGGCTAAACCAACTAATTTGTCTTGAAACCTCACCAATACCATGCATACTAAGAATACTACAGTGAAGATGTGGTAGACAACTGAATATTGAAAAGAGTTTACACACCCTTAGGAGAAAACCATGATGGCCATTTTGAACTTCATTGCAGTAGTGTCAGTAACGTAAGGGGTCTCAACAATCAAAACAGTAGGCTATGATTGGCACTGTTGTTGTTTTGCTAGTTTGTTCTGCAAAAAATATCACAGAAATGTTTCAACCTAAGCAATCACATGTCTTGTCGGTTAGCTTAGATTCCTTCTTATCAAACAAAGTATTCCTCATTAAAGATTTGTTTTTAATACCCTATATTTGTGATACACAACATACTATATTCCCCTCATACTGGGGAGTTTGGTGCAGCCCTGGAACACATGGCTGGCTATTGATACAGATCATAGAGATCAATAATCATTAAGTATCATCACTTTCCTGTATTGTGTGTCAATTGAAACTTTTTGCATAACAGTACTACAAAAGAGTTTTATGTTTTAGTTTCATTGCTTTCACTACTGATCAATCTCTAAAAACAAATTCAACTTGTCAACACTTCAGAGTGGGTGAGTGAGTTAAGTTTTACGCCGCTTTTAGCAATATTCCAGCAATATCACAGCCGGGGACACCAGAATTGGGCTTCAGACCCTACACTTCAGAAAAGTACATACCTTATACTAAGCATCCAGGCAACATATGGTATATGTCAGCTCAACTGGGCTGACATATACACATTATTGAAATACATATAATTATCACACATTGTCTCAGACAAATACAGTTTGAATATTAACAGGTACAGGTATCATTTTGGACCACGCCCTTGAGTGAGAGTGAGTTGGGTTACGACGTTTTCAGCAATATCACAATGTGGGACACCAGAAATGGGCTTTACACATCGACTCATGTGGGGAAATCGAACCCGGGGCCTTCGGTGTGCCGAGCAAATGCTTTGACCACTCGACTAATCCATCGCCCCACCCTTGAACCATACGCGTATTGAAATATGAAATGTGTACCATGTTTATGTTGTGTTGATGCCACGGGAAGTATAGACCACTTGATCAACTATTACCTTCTTAAGTTTTGGTACGGATAAATGAGAATATATTTTTACGTAAACTGCCACTTAAGTGTACATTATGTGACAATTCATCCTTTACTAATCGATGGGTTCTTGTGATGCAACAATCTGCTAAACAACCAAACATTCCGAAAATTGTTACCTTCTAGGGCATAGCACACATCCAAGTAAAATGTGCATGTAACTACATGTACATTGTTCGTATCCAGCGAATTCACGTACGAATGAACACATACTTGGTCAATATTTTTTTTATTTTAGATAAAACAGCACTTCACATAATGATAAATTGATTTGCCATTTAACCTACATCTCCTGTTCCCCAGGTACTATTTTATATGCATTCAGGTTTGTTGACATGGTATTATGGGTGTTACATGCTCATGGTAATTTGTAATCCCTCAAAAGACAAAACACACTCACACTTTCATAGTTTGTACACACCATTTAGTTCTAATTTGTACAGGTTGAATTTTTTGTGTACAGGTAAGGAAAGAGTTTGTTTACTGGTGAACTGCACTCATGGATGAGTCAGCTGAATTACGTATAAGGGTATGTCATATAACTGTGTATATCACTATATATATATATCACCACGTGTAGAAGCTTTTACGGTCTTCAACATGCTAAATAGAGAATAAACCTACTAAAGGCATTTTGTTTTTACAAGCAGGTGTAATCATTTTCTTCAATACAATATTATACATATAGATTATTTTTAAAAAGTCAAAATAACAGTTATTCCTCTGTCTTCACTAAATTTTATATGTCTTTAAAATGACTTGAATGATAATTAGTCAGTGGCTTAAAACATGAACCAATATGAAATCCTACATATTGACTAAAGAATGCATAAACATGATGAATGTGTGCACAAGAGCAAACACTATAGTGATAATAAAAAAGGCATTTTACTAAATTGCTACATTGAAAAAGGACCAATTATTTCATCAAAGGAAACTAGCAACCAAATCATACATCTTAACAAATTGTCAAAAACCTGACTTTGTACGATATTTTGGGTTATAGCTAAAACGGCACCACAGCAGAACGGCACCAAAATCGTTTGGCGAAAACGGCACCGTATTGGCAAAAACGGCAACTGATTTCTGAGCTGAAACGGCACCATATACAAAACACAGTATGATGTTGACTTTTATGTTTTAGTTCGTTTAATTATAACATTAGAATCAACATATAAAAAACACAGTATGACGTTGACTTATGTTTTTTATTTCATTTCAACATTAGCAAGATTATAACACGCGATATAGCTGGAATATTGCTAAAAGCGGCAATGGTGAGGCATTGTGATGAATGATATGTAATGTGTACATTCTTGCGTTTTAAATACAGTTTCATTTTGACACTGAGTTTGGGTGATTTGAGTTGAGTAAATGTACTTAAAACATGAAAGGTTGTGATGTTTTCACGCTAAATTTACAGGCTTTTCCAATCACTCTCGGCACAGTAGATGTTTTGACTATCGAAACATTCTACAAGCCGATTATCAGTCAGACTCATTCATTATCTAAACATACTGGAATCCGATTATCAGCTAACACAAACTTTCCAATCACTGTCGGCAGAGTAGACGGCTTCCAAAATTCTGTATTCAGATTATGTAATGACAAATAAGATGTTCCCAATAATTAGGATTTTATTTGGTGCCGTTTTCACCATAAGATTTGTAGCCGTTTTCGCCAAGTCGAGGTTCCGTTATGTCCAAATGGTGCCGTTTTGCTGTGGTTCCGTTTTAGCCTGCACCCCGATATTTTAATACAGCATAGAGTGATGGAGCAACAAACTAAAATGGTGACCAGTTCGCTGTGCTACTTGCCATGTGCATATATAATGTCAATGAGAGTCTTATGAACACCACTTTCAACCAAATTATTGTTGGACTACTTTGTAATTATCTGAACTTTCTTCAGCTGATTCATATTATGAGTGTAATACCTCTTCAATATCATTACTCTAGTCATTGCATGATCATGCTGATTACTAATGCAGCTCAGTGAACATGTTGCTGGGCTTTGTATAAGAAAAATCTGTATACATACGTTTTACTTTAACCATGTGTATAAAGCCAATTCATGTTTTATAAACAGACAGAAGGTTATGTCATTTACTGTAGGCAATGTCTAATCCAATTTCTGCAACATGAGTACTGCATCTTACCTGCATCTTAGTAATTCCAATTTCATCATTACTAAGCCAACGAAGTCCAGCTGACAGTTTTTCAGATTCAGCTTGTATGACAATTCCTCCCAACTGTTTGGGACTGACAGTCTCCTGTCTATTGTCTGTCAAATATCCTTCATCTGTTATTTCAACAGTCCTCCGTTGATGCTTGGTATCAAAATTGCGAAGCTTTATTCTCCCTGAACCACCTTGTGATTTTCCTATCCAATTATGGTCATCTTGATAAGAAAATCCAATGAAACAGAATATTAAAATAACATGAACAACCAGGGGAAGGGACTCCCCTCCCCTGTAATGTTTAGCACTACCGGGCGCCATGTTGAAAAACAGTGTCCAAGTAGCAAGGGTAATCAATGCAAATATTCCACACGGAGCTTGTATTATCGCAAACGTCGTATCTTGGGCAACTGTAAAAGTAGTCGTTCAAGTCGCCTGCAGACTTGCAAAGGGAAAACTGGCTGCAAAGCCGTCATATTTCCCTACCAGATTTCTTACTACATTCCGACTTCTTCGACGACCAACATTTCAGTACTGAATGCTAATACGCAAAGCTACAAACTGATTACTGCCGCCACAGTTTCGTAGCGTGCTCGATAAGCGCGGCTATAAATGTATAGACAGCTTTAGATTTCCTTTAGAGTTATGATGTTATTTTCGCAATTTCTTCGCAAAGGACAAATTCCTAAATTTGACGATTTCACTAAATAAATATTTATTAAAGAATAAACTGACAAATGTATGACATATTCAACCCTTTCCTTCGAATGGCGGCTACATATCTGTGTCCCAAAGATGGCTGCCTCCATGATGACTTTGTGCAGACGATGCTTTAGGAATATTCCATCGTTGTATCGAAGAAGTAAAGAGTACAAGCACACAATACTGGGCAATCCATTGTTACACCTTCGTTATTTCAAAACAAGTGTACAAGGTGTGATACTTACCTGCTGAGAAAAGTCAAGGATGACTACAGTCTCGTATGCACGTCACCCCAGATTAGTTCCTAAATGCGCTTTGCCAAACGGTTGGTTCTGTTGTTTTACAGAAACCACTCGTTATCATTCCACATGTTTATAGTTAAGGAATTCTCAACTTCTAAAGGCTTGCATCATAAGTAAAGATCACATTTTCCCATCATTTCTACTTTATTATGACAGTTGAAACCATCATTATAGCTGAAGCGTTCGTTGTCGGCACTGGTACTACAGATATGTACAAAGTCAAAGTGGACTATTAATGCTGAAACCTTCCAGGTGCCCCAAACGAGTGACAAGTCCATATTCTCCAATTCAAAATTGAAACCGTTTCATGGTGTATGCAGTGTGCGAAATAGTTTCGCGACATAGTTCCCAAGTTTTGCTAGCAGTTGGGCTAGCTATGCCTGAAAGTTACTAGCCCACAAAATAATTCACTAACCCAAAATTTTAATGTAGACCTGGGTTTCATCATTACGCTGCTAATATGATTTATTTTTATCATGCCATAATCTTGCATGAATTAAAAGTGTATTAGAACTTAACAAGTCATAGAGAGTGACATATATTTACAAAATGTCATCATGAAAATACACTAGCCAGTCGGGCCAGTGACTGTGGAGATTTACTCTCCCGACTTGACTTTTACTAATCACAGGCTAGTGGGCAAGTGGCTATTTTCGCACACGGGATGTATGTTTACTTCCCTTTCGCCTGATTTTGAGTGATCACGAAATAGTCAACATTCTATACGCTCGCTTCTTATATAACACAATCGAATGAATGAATCTCATACAGTATTAGTTCCGATCAAGAAACCTGTGCAATTCGGAATGGACTCATCCTGGGGTACGTTTCTGTGCTCAAATTTTGCTAGGGTACATTTCTGTAAATAGAAACGAACCTGGGGTATGTACATCTGTAGTACCTGTGTGGACAATGACCCCTTCAGCATCAATATATTGGGTCCAGTATTGTGACGTAGTTTGACTCGTCTGATGTAGGTTTGTGTGCAACACTGCAAGGTAATGTAATTCTATGGAGCCAGTCACCACTAGATTGAAAGCAAAATGGTGCAGCTACTTCAAGCATACAAAGTGGCCTCTAGAGTGATTGGGAATTGGACACCCCCACCCACAGAGATCTCGACCCAAACCTTTATGGTGGACTGTCACTCTTACCGAAATACTGGGCACCAGTACCCACTCAAACCTGTTCGACTGGATGACTCATAGCTCAAAAAATGAATCTATACCCAATGAAAATATATAGGATTTGAAACATTAGTCGACTTTGCTTTGTATTTTGTCTTACAACATATGAGTATCTTACAACATGTTAGTATAAATGACTGTGTTAACTTCCTCTTACACTGACCACCTTAAGAACATAGTAGTTGATAAATAAAATCACAAGTTACAGATACTGAATGAGTTAAAAAAAAACACACACCCTAACTCTCAGTGGTCTAGTCAGCACCATTTTTATTACCGGATGCCAAATAGCATCAGTGACCTAACAAACTGCACTTTGGACAAGGTAGGGAAGACTTTGTTGACAACAAGGGGGAGTCCCCTTAAATCTTCAAATTTCATTGGATGAAGCTTACTTCCTGTGCTAATGTGTATGTATACTTTTGTAGTTTAGCATATAGCAAAGGCGTATACATTATATTCTTGCAGCAATGATGTTCATTTCAAATACTCAAAACAACTGCAGCCCATATTTTGTGTGAAATTTCATATAATGCAACAATTGTTACTCCCTTTCTTTCATCCATGTTTTGTGGTATTAACTTACATCCACATATTTGTTGTCATTCACTTGATCAACATTCACCCCTGTTTATGAGAGTATTGACATACAGCTATTAGTGGTTCTAATTTTTCTTGTGTCTGGGGGTAATTATAAAATCTAAGATTGAATCATATGTGGTGAATAAATTACATTTGATGTAATATGCAAATTGTAGATGCAAAAGTTTTCCTTCTTAACATGTGTCCAACATATGTTTGTATGTTTTTTCTAGCATATGATCATCAGCCATTGAAGATCTAGGTCACTGCATACCCAATAAGCATGCAAGCACCGTATTACCAAAATAATACTTTAGATGTTACAATGAATATTCACCTCACTAGGGATATATGGCATTGTAAAAGTCAACAGCAAGACTGACATTGGTTGTCTTTTGAGAAAGCAATGTGCAGTTTGTATTTTGTTTTCAAACTTAAACTTCTTTTGAAGTTTTATCTCATTTATAAAAATCCGGAATCACCTGTGTTTCATTTTTTATTTTTATTTGTCTTTTTTAAAAAATCCATTAATGATGAATTTCTCTCTTGTATTGAAGCATTTTCCTCTGATTGTATATATAACTACAACACAGACAGGTCAGGATCATGCTTTGACTTTGTGTAATAATTAAGAATTTCACTATAAAGTGAGTGAGTGAGTTGGGTTGTTACGCTGCTTTTATTAATATTCCAGCAATATCATGGTGGGGGACACCAGAAATGGGCTTCACACATTGTGCCCATGTTGGGAATCAAACCCAGGTCTTTGTCATGATGAGCGATTGCTTTCAACACACCCCACCACTCCTTCACTATAAAGAAGAATATGACAACAAAATACTTTGGTAAACAAGATATACTGGTATACCCTCTGACTAATAGTTGGTTAACCTTGGTTGTATGGTCCAGTACATTACACTGCCAAACTTCATATCTGATTCCATAATGCAAAAACATATTTCTCCCCATCCACTACATATGGAGATATGACATAATCATGTGACATGTAACTCACTTTCCAGTTGCCTGATAAAAGTTTACAGCAAATTGATTGGCTATTTGAGCTCGATTTCGTAGAAGGTGAAACTGGGTTTAACGTCGTGCTTGAGAATATTTAGCTCATATGACGACGTGCATGCGTGTGTATGTGTATGTGCGGCTGATTGTACTAGCCCAGACTGAAGCTGGTTTTATAATGCCCACTGAGATACCATGCCGCAGTGAAGCATGAATACCCCACTCAGACACATTATACTGACTCCGAGCCGACCAGTCCTTGTTGTACCCATTAATGCCGAGAGCCAGGCAGGGACCAACAAGTACCATATTTAGTTGATATCAGTCCATCTTGTACTCTTGTCGTTAGTCTTAGTTGCCCTGAACAGAGTTTGTTAGTACCTGTTAACATGCAAACTATTGGCTAGGTTTGGAGTTGAGTTTTACAGACATTCATATACTTGCGTAGGATATTTATCATGAACACTTATTTTTGTTCAAATATTTTGTACATTCTTTAGACCTTAGGCATGAACATAAGAGTTCAAGACTAGCAACATATTCAGACCATGAACAACTTCTGAATATTATATATAATGGACTTAAAAAGGTATGTTCAACAAGTAACTTGATTGGTTGATCAATATGTTTTCAAATTTGGAAAACAGTCTTTCTTTGTCTAAAGTGCAAAGTTTGGTTGTGATTCTCTTATTTTGGAAAGAATTCTATCAACTGACATATTTTGTTCTTAAAAAGACCAAAGGGAACTTTTGTTCAACCAATAACATGGACACATTTGATTGTTTTCAGATTTCATGATCACTCTCCATAACTTTATCACAATTTTCAGGGCGGTGGGGTAGCCTAGTGGATAAAGCATTCACTTGTCATGCCGAAAACCAGGGTTTGATTCCACACATGGGCACAATGTGTAAAGCCCATTTCTGGTGTCCCCACTGTGATATTGCTGAAAGCGGCATAAAACCATACTCACTCACTTATCACAATTTTCATCTCTTGACTTTGGGAAAGGGTCCCACGTCAAATTTGTTTAGTCAGTAAATTTACATGGATTATTTTAAGATTTGGGTAATGGTTTATATTTTTTATAGGAAAGGTGCAGTGCAACGTTTAATACAGATCTTATATTTTTCTCAAGAATAATCATTATTAATTGTTGTTCAGCTGAGATTGGGAGTCACAGTCACGGACATTAGTGAGCCTTGCTCACATTCTTTGGCTTGACACTGATTGACAGGATATCTATGTTCTAAACCTTAAGGCCAATGAATATGTGGTATTGCAATGTCTCATGTCTCTTTCCATTTTCAGGTTCCCTCTTTTCCGGTGAATATGAATGGCAGGATCCAAAATCTGAAGATGAAGTGTAATTATTTTAAATTTTGAAGTAAACCTATGTAATAGAAGTATGTGAAGTTTGAAAATGGTAAACACTCTAACTCAGCAATAACTTGACCAGAATTATATGGCATTGTCATGCCCTCCCTACAATATCAGAAAATCCATGTTTTTTCTGCCACCAACAATTGGAAAAAGTATAAACTGATTTAATTCAATATTGAGGACCTTACTGCGTGAGTATTCTTTTTTGTAGACTATCACTACCATTGATGTTTTACGATTCACAACCAGGTTTACAGATATGTGAAATAATTCTTTTGAGACATACCTGTACCATATGGCCTTGGGAAAAATCTTTGGCTTGTGTCAGTAAAATATCAAAGTCAAGATAGAAAACCTCACCGAAAAGCTTATGATTACAGTGTCTCAAAACATATTGGTGCAGTTTTTGTTTAACTTGGTATCGCTACCATAAGGCACTGGTTTGAGAAGGTTTTGGTCAAGATGAGATCAAGGTCCACATTCAGGTTTTGTAAAAGATGGTTATATATAATTGAATAAACATTGCAAAACATGTGTTCTAGAGTATGAAATGTGATGTAGTTCAGTCACTTCTAAATATGGTAAGTAGGCAGCAATTGCCTGACATCATCAGTTATATGTATGATATCTTACAACCAAAATATTTTGCAACAGCAAAGATTAGAGTCCTACATCCCAGGACTCCAGATAAGGCCGTATTGGCGTATGTACGGATAAAAAATATGCACGACACGGTAGGGAATAATTTAGGAAACGTAGAGGATACGCACCACAGCAATGGCGTACGGTCTTAGAATAATTTACAGACGTATTTTTTTTTTTAAAGTATTGTTTTATTGTTTATTGACCTGTTTACACAAGAGTAGCAATGTTGTGGTGCATATATGAAACGAAACACAAGACTACTGGTACTCCATTAAATTCCATTCAGTACTCTAAATGTACTCTTAGGTTTTCCAGTACTCGTGTATTGAAAAAATAAGGAGTACATATTCCAGATGTTGAAAAAGTATCTGGAGCCCTGCTTCCTACTCAGCTGCCGATACAATGGTGGTAAATCTTGATGGTCTGTGACCAGAAGTGTTGCATTTTGTTGATGTAAAAGTTGTAGACTGATTAACTGACGAAAAAATCAATAAGATCTTATAAACTGTCTTTATGTTGGAGTTGGAGAGAAACAAGAAGACTTTCCTCGACGTGGCCCGGTTGTAATTGTTAGTGTATGTACAGGGCAATGTGTAACTTACACTTTATGTAAAGTGGAAATAATGTAGGATTTGTCTTGTTTTCAGAGTAAATATTGTGTATATAGACAAGTCTGGAAAGAGGATTCCTGTACGAGGAAAGGTTGGCGACAATGCCATGTATTTAGCACATAGGTATGACATAGAACTTGAAGGTAAGAATTCTTATCATACCAGTAATTCATAGCATGTGAGTAAGTTTGGTGTAATAACATTTTGTATAGTATTTCTGTTATATTATGACAGAGCTTTCAACTGAAAACTGTAGTTATGTCAGGTAAACATGTTTATGTCACGCTGTCTACTGATGGTTTGTGTCAGGAGGGTAGGGAGGGAGGTAAACATGTTAGTGTCAAACATGATTGTCAGGAGGGTCACGTGTTAGTGTCATGCTCTACTGATGGTTTGTGTCAGGAGGGTGTCAGGAGGGAGGAGGGAGGTAAACATGTTAGTGTCACGCTATCTACTGATGGTTTGTGTCAGGAGGGTGGCGAGGGAGGTAAAGATGTTAGTGTCACGCTGTCTACTGATGGTTTGTGTTAGGAGGGTAGGGAGTGAGGTAAACATGTTAGTGTCACGCTATCTACTGACTGAGGTGTTAGTGTCACGCTGTCTACTGATGGTTTGTGTTAGGAGGGTGGGGAGGGAGGTAAACATGTTAGTGTCACGCTATCTACTGATGGTTTGTGTCAGAGGGTGGCTAGTTAGGTAAACATGTTAGTGTCACGCTATCTACTGATGGTTTGTGTCAGGAGGGTAGGGAGTGAGGTAAACGATGTTAGTGTCACGCTATCTACTGATTGTTTGTGTCAGAGGGTGGCTAGTTAGGTAAACGTGTTAGTGTCATGCTCTCTACTGATGGTTTGTGTCAGAGGGTGGCGAGGGAGGTAAACGTGTTAGTGTCACGCTGTCTACTGATGGTTTGTGTCAGGAGGGTGGCTAGTTAGGTAAACGTGTTAGTGTCACGCTATCTACTGATGGACATGTTTCAGGAGCTTGTGAGGCATCTCTGGCTTGTTCTACATGTCATGTCTATGTTCAAGAAAACTACATGAATACTTTAGAAGAGCCTGATGAAAAGTAAGTTCTTCCTATTTTTACGTTAAATTGTCTGTTTTGTCATACCTTATGGTTTATTGTTTGTGTATTATTGTTTGCCTCTGTAGGATTTTATGTTGCAAATATTCTGAAAAGCTAAAAAGATGAATATTTTATTTGGTTTGTAAAATATAATGAAAAGTTTATATATATGTGATATTCAGTGAGGGGCAGTGCTATATGTAGACTTGTGCTGCAACCTTATAGGCATCACTAGTGTTACGGTTAATAAATTTGCCAAGGTTTAAGAGTCCCCCTGTGAAAATAGAACACAGACAAGTCTAAAATATTAAAAAAGATATTGAGCAAACAATGAGCAAGCTACAATGAATGACAATACAGATATCTAGTACAATGCAATTGAGTCACAAAAGTAGTAGATACAATAGCGGTCCGAGACCAAGTCCAACAAAAGCCTCTGCAAAGCTTTATTTCACAAATAAAGCTTTTGTCAGTCCCTTAGATCTCCCTCCCCCCATTGTCTACTACTTTTGAACCCCCAGTTAACTTCCCGGCCACGCGTGACACTATTGTGCCACTTCCTGATCACGTGATAGCTCTATATCGTGTTGACCTCGATGAAACAGTTTAATGTGATACAGGATACTATTGGGATTACTCAACAGTAAGTGTTAAATATTTTGCTTGGGGGGGTAACATTGTGTCGTACGGTATGATCAATAATTCCTCTCTAATGAAACCTCTCCCTGGCCCATCTCTCAAGTAGTACAAGTTCGGCTCGTCGGCTTTGATGTCCACTTTATCTATATTGTAAGTTTTGACTGACCATATCGGATCGGTGGCTCGCTTACGACTATCACCCTCGTGTTCCCTCAGCTGGTAGAGGTACCTCACGAGGGTCCTATCTGGTATCTGTTTCTCCTTCCCACGCAATGGTGCAGCCGACTCAGCCACTATTGATTTTAGTTTGATAGCATCGACTGGTTTCTTGCTAGTGAGCCGAGTGGTTTCATGGTTGATGGCTGACACCACCTGAGGTAGCCGCGCTACCCATTCAGTTGATCGTTTTCCCGGGTTGGCCATCTCTCTCGCATACTGATGCCGGAATAAGCGCTCAGCCAAAGTCCTATTGAATCTCTCAACTATGGCTTGGCTGCGATGGGCTCCGGCTGTGCCACGCCTGACCTTGGTATCGTGTTTATCTAGCAGCTGCGACACGGCACCCATGAACTCCCGTCCAGGGTCAACTTCCAGCTCTGTTGGCCATGTCAGTGGACTGCGCTTGTATATGCGCTCCATGGCTTGAGCCACCTGGTTCGAATCTTTCGCGGTTAAGGGCTCCGCTTCCTTATACCGGCAGGCCACATCCACGATAGTCAGGGCATACTTGTAGGTTTTGCGCCTCACCCTATCGTGGGGTAGGAACAGGAGGTCGGCCTGGTGAACGCTATTGGGTATGTTAATACCGAACTTCCTTCTAGGCACGTAGCGTGGTGCCGGTAAATAGATCTGCCACAGGGCTTGTTTTTCAAGCCACGCTTTGGCCTCGTTCGGGGGTACTCGCGCCATTTTAGCCAGCTTATGTACGGCGCTAGCTCCTTTCCAGTACCCACGAGGGCTGTAGTAAATAGCCTCAAACTTTCTCTGGTTCCGTGACATCCCGACATATATACACCTATGTTCTTGGTTCAATTTTCTCATGCCCGTACGCGTACGTGTTGATCCCATCAATAGCTATCCAACGCTTAGTGTCCATCGGCGACAGGGACGTCTTGTTTATCGTCAGTCCGTAAATCCTATGCCCATCACTTCTAAGCGTGTTCATTTTATGCCTGAAGGTACGGGTCTTGAACAGGGCTTCCTTGAATCTGGCGTGTTTGATGTGTTGGTTAACCACGTACTTCTTAACGCCCTTCATCTTTCGGATCTCACCATTGTCGGCCTTCAGGATGGAGTACATCTTGGGCCTCAAGCCTATGTACTCGGCTATGGGCATGCCAGCACACTCGTCCTTCATCTTACCTAGGACCTTTTTATTTATCGTGCTGTGTATGGCATGGTCCTTGGGGTAGTCGCTGGTGTTGTACAAATCGAGGTGTTTCTTCATGTCCTCGTACACGTCCTCGGTTTGAATCTCCATCAGCAGGGAATCCGTGTCAGTGTACAGCACTTCACACCTGTCACCGTACTGTTTCTTCAGTTCGTTGTAGTAAAAGTCGTACATCTGGTGTTTGGATAAATCGAGGATGCTCATCCCCACGTAAACAGGCCGGTTGAATTTGATGTGGCTTTTCTTCATGTGTAGGGCCACCATGTCGTCGGTGAATATCTTGCTCCGGTTGAATGCCGGGCTGGCTATCAGCCTCCTGAGCTTGTCGTCCTCTCTCGACCGAACCAGCTTCACGGTCACACGTTTCCTCAGGTTCTCCATAGTCTTACCGAACGCCGAGTTGTTCATGAGCTTGTAGAGGTTTTTCTCAAAGTCACTGGTGGCCAGCTTTCTCAGGTCCGTGTTCATTGAGTACGTTCAGCCTTACTTCCGAGGTAAACAAGAAGTCGTGACTCATACCGAGACTATAGACGAGTCAATCGATACCAGTTTTCAGCAGATACGAGAATACCTAGAACGCACATGGGTTCAGGGTGGGTCGTGGATAAAATCGAAAATGTCTATCTAGACATAGCTAACTACGTGCCATTCAGAGGCGGGTCATACCTAGACTTGCCCCCCCCTACTACAAAGCAAAACAGGCCATGGTCAACGTCAAGAATAGAGGTGACGATTGCCTGAGAGTAGCTACCAGGTCAGCCTTGTTTCCAGCTGACACTCATTCGGACAGGCTTTCTAGCTATCCCCAAGACGATGGGCTCAACTGGGATGGTATAGATGAACCCACCCCCATATCCCAGATCACTAAAGTAGAAAAACAGAATAATATAGCTTATAACGTCTTAAGACACGAAGGCAACAAAACGATCGTGCACAGGATCAGCCCAGTGGGGGGGCAGGAGGGTCGCCGCGTTATCAATATATTCATGATCCAGCGAGGTGATAAGTATCACTACACGTGGATAAAACACCTCAGCAGGCTGTTGCACGACCAGTCGAAATACGATGGGAAAAAACACTTTTGCATACGATGCCTACACGGCTTCACACGAGCTAATTTATTAGAATCCCAACGGGAGGATTGCCAAGGTGTGGGGCAGATGGCCATACGAGTTGACATGCCTAAGGAAGGTGACAATATCCTAAAATTCGGCAACCACAAGAACCAGATGTCCGTGCCTTATGTCATCTACGCCGACTTCGAAGCCTTGGTCAAACCCGTTGAGGCTGCCACCGGTAGGGCTGCTGGGGATGCCCCAGCCACAAACAAAACACAGGAGCACGAGGCCTGTGGGTTTGGATACGTGGTCGTCCGATGTGATGGGGAAACGAAAGCTCCCGTAGTGTACAGGGGTCCCGACGCGGCGTAAAAGTTTCTAAAGTGTTTGCAGGAGGAAGAGAAAAGTATTAGGAATGCACTATACACAGTCACCCCCCTGCTGTTTATCGAGTGACATTTTCACTGTGATTTGAAACTTTATACTTCCCAAATCGTTTAGTTCCTCATTGACTTTATCAGCGATTAGAGGCTTGATATCGGCGATGTCTATGTTCCTATCAACATGCATGCGCCAGCCTCTCAAATAGTTACCTACAGCGAGCTCAGTGCGCATGTACTCTAGGTCAATAGCTCTATTCTGCCGTAATAGTTCTACAAGCTGTGGTTTCCTCATACGGGAATAACCTATTAACCCCAACTGGCGGGCCTCCTGTTTGAGTTGTTTCACAGTGTGGGGCTTTGCTACGGGATCGTTTAATAATGCGACTAACCCGGTTCTCCCAAGGCGAGAATAACCCGTCAACCCTAGCTCTTTTGCTCAGAGTTTTAGTTGTTTTACCGTGGGAGGGGGTTGTATGTTAAGTAATCTCATCATTTGATCATTCGAGAGTAACCAATTACACCTCGTTGCCTGGCGATCTGCTTGAGCTCCCGAGTAGTAGGCATTGTTATACCAAAGCGTTACAATCTCTAATTGGGCCACCGGCAAGGGAGGTAACTCCTCCAACCCTAAAAAAATAATAAGGCGCCCATAAAATCCTTCAGTAAATATCTAGATAGACCTCATCGATTATACCCTCCCGGAACATGCGAGGGTGTTTTGTATTAATTCCAATGAGGTGTCAACAAACTCCTTTATATCCCCGAGTTGATACACATCTCCTTTCCCACCATCAAAGTAATTACAAGTCCCTGCTTTCACCATGATTGAAACTGCGAAGCCCTCCTCCTCCAGTGCCTTATAGAGTTCACCAACAATAATAGGCCTGAGGACACTGATATCTATACTTTCCCCCACATCCATTTGCCAGCTTCTCAGGCAACGACTTTCCCTGGGCTCAACTTCCACGAACATCATTATACCTAAGTGTACACAGTCTCTACACCTCCATGCTAAGGAGGCGTCTAGATTCGTTTATGTAGTCTTTTTTCTTCTCGTAGATAAGCTGGTGCCTGACTACGTTTGCCCCGTGGTCTTTACATAAACAGTATTGACATCTCACTCCAATACCGCACACTGAACATGTGTAGTTCACAAAACATTTTCTATGAAAACAGCAATACCCCTCCATCCTACATTTCCTACCACAGGTCTCGGTCTTCCCCCTCAGTATGTACTGACATTGGTACGGGGCAGGTCTCATCTTTGGTATACTTATATGAGTACTTAGTCTAATTGTTTTACAACCAATGCAGTCGCTGCTAGACTCAGCGCGATAAAGACCAGTTCTCGGTCCTTTTGCCCCGGGGATGGTGTGTAGTACTGAGCGAGTGTGGGCTTAGGAGGGAGTGGTTCTAGCTGTTTATCGGTTAGTAGGTAGTATTCTCTCGCTGCGTCGTCGACATCATGGAATGTTTTAACGGCATGGTTCTCACGCCTGAGTTGTTCGTTAATGTAATTGATCCTCTGTA